AGCTTACCCCCAAATAGTATTTAAATTTCTAAACTAAAAATAAACCAAATAAGCCCTCTCACTATACTAAGGATGTAGATAAGCCCTCTCACTCTACTAATGATGCAAAGATAAGCCTTTCTCATTCATGGATGTTCATACTTTTAAGATAATATTAAACATGAAATATCATTTGATCCGTTTGTGAAAAAGGTTTATTTGCATTCTTAATGGAGTTGGAGAGCTTATCTGTTTTATTTTTAGTTTATAAACTTAAATGCTATTTTGAGGTAAGTTTAGGGGCTTAAGAATGATTTTTGCCCGCAAAAAATTATCTTAATATCGGCCCACCGCGTTTACGTGAACCGTTTTCCAGCTGTCACTTTCCCTTTAGTAGGCCCCACACGCCGCACCAGCGATCCTATAAATACCCTCTCACAGGCCCTAACCTCTCTGCAGTAATCCTCTCAACACATTCTCTCAGATCAAGAAGAAATCCATCGTCTAGCCTTCCGGTCGTCTGAGTCTCTCCGTTCCGCCGTTCCGCCGTTCCGCCGTTCCGCTCCGGTTAGTAATGGCGCAGATCAGCATCGAGAGGGCTTTCGTTGCAGCTTTGGTGATGGCGCTCTTCACTGTCGTCTCCGCACAGATCGACGAGTCTCCGGCTTCTGCTCCTGCTCCCGGTCCTGCTGCTGGAGCTGGATCTTCTCTTGCGGGTTCCGGTGCTGCCGTCGTGTTGTCTTTAATTGTTTCTCTTTTCGCTCTGTTGAAGCAGTAGATCTGATCATGGAATTAATACCTTTGGCTGCGTTGGAGAGTTATATATATATATATATATGCATTATGATGATTATTTGTGATTTTGTGGTTTTAGTTTCGATGATTCGTTGTTGTTATTTGTTTTGATACTGGAATAAGAAATCGGATTCTTTTTATTAAGGATTTGGTGATTCTCTTCGACTGTGAATGTTCTGATTTTTATTTTTTCTTTTTTTCATCTGAAAATAGATAGATCATGATATGAGCTATCTTTTGTCAATTTTACGACGTTGGAATTGAATTGATTCATCTCATGTTATTGTGTTCAAGAGACTAGACTAAGACTCCATCTATAAGATCTTTTTATGATAGAGACTTTACCTTTTTAATTTAACTTTTTAAAAAAAAAATTTTTAATTAATTAATAAAATTTGATATTTTCCTGTTTTCTACTTAGTCATTAAGTTAGATAAAAAAAAAAAAAAAAGAAGATAAAATTTGACTTTAATTTTAATAATTAAGGCATCATTTAAAATATTAAAAGATAAATTTAATATTATTTAATAATTGACTCCATTTATTTTTAATCTAAATAAAATATTTATTATGTAAAATTATATGATCAAATTTTATTCAAAAATTAAACTAGGACAATTAAATTTGATCATAGGGAGTATTAAGTATTATAAGAGTTGAATTTTTGACTAATTCCAAAAAGATTTTCATATAATTGTTGAATAGGTTTTCCTTGTTGAATTTGTGTTGATAGCATTTTTATAATTTTTAATTTTGCAGAGGTCTTTTTTTTTTTTTTTTGTACATCGAAGAATTAACTATCTAATATTATAGATATTCAAAATCAAATTAAAAATTTTAAATTAATAAACACTAATTTGGCTAAATTTTTGTTGGTGGTAGATGAGGTCCTCTTGAATCTAGTGATTTGAGGCGAGAACTGAATGCAAACTGCAAAGAATCCAGCTGCCTCTCAACATATGTTATACCTATGATTTTTTTTTTTAGAGACAAATCAACAGTTGCCTTGAGTTGCAGGGCCTATGGACCATGACCCATGGTCCGAAACAGATTATTGGCGCAGCATCTTTCAGCCCAACCCAAAACTAACACTTTGGCCCATTAGCCATTCTTGGGCTTGTTAAGTGACATTTTGATTCATAATCTACACCTGAAAGTTTGAAGATTGTAAGATTTATCTTGGAACCAAGTGTTTAAACTTTAAATCCATTACCTTTGTTAATAAAATTTATTTTAGTTAATTAAAAAATTAGGCAAAAGAGCACTCCCATTTCCTACTTCACATTAACAAATGTGTTTGGTTATTGGAAAGTTTCCCCTTAAAACCATACAAATAAGGTAGTGATTTAGCAACAATGTTTTTGTATAATTTTTTTATATAATATTATATATTATTAAATGAGTTGATACACTTAATATTATAGATCCTAAATGAAAAAAAAAAGTTAATTATTTAAATGATATGTAACATTGTACAAAAATATTATCTTTAAATAATTTTTCTACAAATAAAGGACAAAGTTGATAATTTTAGCATATATTTCCTAGACGCAAATTCAAATAAGGAAATTTTTTCTTCTTACATTTTCTGAACATTTTCTGAAGCCAGAAGTTTACCCAAGTTTATTAATGCACTTGATAGCTTTCCTCTAACTTTTCTTACTAAACTTCATTATAAAATTTATTAATTTTTTATACAATACTTTTAATTAAACTTTTTTTATGGTACTTTTTATCACATTCCCAATAAAAGTACCTTATAATCAGATAGCTCAAAGTGTGACTTATTCAAGGACAATTCTGGATTTTCCTTCCATCCCATTGCAGTCCCCATGTGAGAGTGACCTGAAACATTTGCAGCAAAGAAACCCCATCATTATAAGTTTGTGGGCTCTATTGGGAAGAGAGACATTTGTTTTTGTTACATACATGAAACCTTATCAAGGATTTGATTGAATATATGTTCATAATTCATAAGGAAAAGCTGCCTGAAAATACCCCAACAGCTAGGACTGACACAGAAGAATAAGATGAAGAATTGAAAGCTAGGTTTCTAGGTCTCCTCAATCGACAAGTATGGTCAGGGTATTAATTTCTTGAGAAAAGTCATCAAGAGCGTCTAACTTGTCTTGAGGCTAGGAATAAAAAAATGGGTTTAAGAGCAATTGAAAAAGCGGTACAAAAGGAAGAATGTGTTACTAAGGATTTATTGATGAGAAATAAAAAGAGTTTAGATCTTTTTAAATAAGATTTTGAATTTAATTTTTATAAATAGAAATATGATGAGATTTGATTTTAAATGAGTTAAAATCCAATACAACTCTTAAATATTAAAGAGTTTAGGAAAAAGAAAAAAGTTTTTAATAATGAATACAATCGCTTAACATTTGAGAAATAGGTGGATAATATTGGCAATCTTTATTTATGGCAAATAAAATCTTGAATTTATAAAAAAATGAATGAGCATCTATAGAATTTTTGTACCATTTAATTAGTTTATCTCCGCTAAAGCCTTCAACTTCCTAATGTTAAAATGCCCGCTAAACCCATTAAATGGAAAAGGGTTTTTTTTTTTTTTTTTTTTTACATATTATTCACAAGTCAAACAAAGTAGCCCTTTAAGCAGAACAGATAATTAAGATTAAAAGTTGCAGAGGAATGCTACAGAAACACGGTGTAGGGCAGAGTGTTTGTGCTCTCCATACTTAATTGGTTCAAAGGGAATTTTTTATATTTTTTAAAAGATAAATAGCACTCCACACCAATCATGCGCAGAGCGCTTGTGCACTTAACAAAACGCTGAGTGCACTTAGCATTACTCAAAGTCGAATTCTTCTTTGTTGTTTACCTAGATCAAATGGACCTCATTAGCTTATAAAAATTTTTCTAGACTCTTCATTATCATTTTTAATGCTTTAAAACCCGACTTGGTGACTAACCCTTTTCAATGCTACATTATTTGGTTTAATTGGTTCAATTAGTTGGTTCAACCAAGCAATTAAAATGTTGACTTTTTAAAATTTTTTTATATGTTTTATTGTTATTTATTGATATTACCCCACTTTCAAGACATAATTACCTTAAAACAATTTGTAAATCACTTTAGAAGTAATTTAAAAAATTGAATGTAATTAAATACATGCAATTCAAAAAGAAAAAATGCATTAAAAAAGTAAAAAGGTCAATTTTTCAAAGAAAGGTTTTAAAATTGACTAGTTGGTCAATGGTTGCCCAGATCAACCAAATTGACTAAGTTTGCCAAATTTGATCAAATTAATCTTCAAAACGAATTAAAACATTTACCTAACCTGTTTTATAACCAAATCCAAGTCAACCAATTGAACTGACCTAACTGGGTTGGGTTTGAAAACACTAGTTGTTGGAAAAGATTATGGAGACAACAAACAGTTCTCCTCATCATTATTAGTAGTAATACATAGATTTAAATCCTTTTATTCTTATTTTAGTAAAAAAATAACTTTTCTAGATTATGCATGCAACTTTACTTATTCAATTTCTATACATAAGAGATTTATAGATATTTGTGTGACCAGAGTTAAAGGGCAACAAAATGTGTACGCCCATATTTTCCAAAAACATGTTTTCCTTTTTCCTTTTTATTTTGTGAAACGAATACATTCCAAGGATAGGATCCTTCTAGGAAGCTGATGAAAGTCCTCTTTTTGAAAGAAAAAGATGTACCTTTATTTTCTTTTTGATTTCTTTTACGTAAAAAATAATAATCTTACAAAAATTTTCATTTGAGAATAGCCCTGATGATGATGGCCCGCCAAAGCATTTATCCCCTCCTAGCTCTCCTAATTTTTTTTTCTTTTTTTGGGGTATTGCAAAAAAGAAAGAAGGAAAGAAAGAAAGATGACCAATTAAACTAAGTTGTTCCATGCCTCTAAAGTTGTTAACTTGTTATGCATTTAATAGGATCTTCCACAACATACTCTTGATTGGATTTTCTCATTCAATAATAATTTTATATATCAAAAAAATATTATACAATGAAGATTGTACAACTTAAATTGTTATATAAAAACAAGGCTCCTAATATTAAAGGTTGTCTCTCTATTTGTTAATTTTTATTTTTTTACAATTGGGATTGAAAATTTATTAGTCTATATACATATAAATTTAGATTAAACTAATCTAAACTACTATTTGATTTGACTTACCATGAACCTTAAACACAACTTTTTCCTGACCTTTAGTACAGAAAAAAAGCCTTGATAAGAGACAGATATCGCCTCTCACTCTCTCATGGATGTGTGTAGTATATATGTGCTCAAATTATGCTTTTGTTTCTTCTCCTTGAAGTTTTTCTCCATATTCCCCTACAATCAAAATCCCAAAACTTGGAGAATCTTGAAGCACCAACGGCAGTTTAACTTTAGCGTGAGAAAATGGATCCATCATCCATCAAACAAAGCATAATATATGGGCAAAAGGAGATCTTTAGATATACTACAAAAGAAGGATTTTTGTTTTCTTCTCTTTGTTATATAACTTTATTTATCTTAATCTATGTTAATTAGTATATAATATGTATTACTATTCATTTTACTTTTTTCCTCTTTCCTTTCCCTTTCTATGGTATGTGATTATTGGTCAAGATTATTTTTTCCTCTTTCCCCTTTTCTTTTGCTGGGGCCTTTTGAAACAAAGTTGTCTCATATACTTTGAGAATATCACACCTAGTCTTGTAGATTTGGTCCATATCCATCTTTTACATGTATTTTTGAAAAGGAATAATAGGCAAATTAGGTTCTAATTTAAATAATTTTCATTAGTAAATAAGCATTTGATAGAATTTAAGTGGAAAAACCAACCTAGCTAAACTCTTGATAAAAGATTATTGTGCAATTTAAATTATATCATATTACACAACTTAAATTATTAGACAATTTTTATTTTTTAATTTAATACAACTTAAATTTTAAAATAAGATTCTCAACTTTTAAATTGCAGTAAGCTTCTTTAAAGTGAATAGAGAGCATTAGTCAGTATTAATATTATTAGATGATATTAGTAAATCCATCAGGCAACATTGAATAAAAATTAATTGTTGACTTGACTAAGATTGACTAATGTTTTTCGTCGGTTTTGGAAAGATTTGTTGCTGTTCGTTAGT